GACTATACCTGTGATTTCAGCTTTTTGACTGATAAACGCCAACAAGAATCTTCTTTGGCGTTTTGCTGTGTTCAGATAATTCAAAGTTTCCATTTGGGTGAATTGAAAATGTTCGGTTTAAACATAGATTGTCTTGACATAAAAGGGGACTTGCTGAGAATATTGCAGCTGACCGAACAGTTTTAGTATTTCAATAGAAATCAAGCATATTTAGGGTAAATCTCCAAATATTATAATAATTTTCAGTCTTTTTGGACTAAAATGCAAGAAAAAACAGATTAAACTCCTAGATTAAGAAATCTTAAATATTTGAGTTCAAAGTGAAATTAAATGACTCTAAAAGTCATTACAACATTTTCCCATTGGTGATTTTACAACAGCGGCTTCCTGAATTGTGGTTCAAAAAGTGGGAGAGTTGCAGGTTCAATTCCCGGTTTCTGTCGTGTTCATGTTAAAATGTTACTGTTGGCGCAGCTACAAAGTGTAGCCTTAAATCTCTGACCGCCATGCACAGCATGGCCTTTAACCAGAACACATAAAGAATTTTAATATATTAAAAGTGTCGGTGAGGCATTGAGAGGTGATTCTCAGAAAGTGATCAGTGAAGTTTGCTGGAGTTTATTTTCGTAAAGGGGAGAGTGATAAGATGCACTTTACTGCCTTGTTCCTGGTGGATTTTCCTTTTTTTGTTTCGGAGAGTCTCAAAGAGGGTCACTATTTTACTTTATCTGTTTTCTGTCCTTATCATATGTACATCTTTATGTCTATTAAAAAGTTTTATTGATCTTTTATTCCCCACGTGCCATATATGCGTTGCATAGCCTGAATAAAATAGACCTGAGGTCTATCTCAGGTAGAGTTATGCAAGCCCCCCCCCTTGCAGAAAATCATGTGTACAAGCATAAAAAAATGAAGCAGCAGACGCTTCTTTGCTGCTCAAATAGCGTTCGGTGTGAATGTAGCATCAGGATATTCAGTGTATGATGTGTGCCTTTTTAGCTAACTGATTGATTTTAATCAGCCACGATAAAAGGCTCTGTTCTTGGTAAGTTGAACCATACTGTAATTATTGCTTAAAGCGGGTCTAAAGAATGTTCAGTTTGGGTTGCTTTTGGCTCCCCCTGTGGACCAAAGCTGTTTAGTTTTGACAAAAGGAAGACAGTATTTCCCATGAGGAAATACATGAGGTTGTTTCTAGTGGCTGTGAAAGATGAATAGCGATGACTGTGCTGGGAAATAAGAAACGTTTAACTTTAGTTTTGTAATCTATACAGGTGCTGGTCATAAAATTAGAATATCATGAAAAAGTAGATTGATTTCAGTAATTCCATTTAAAAAGTGAAACTTGTATATTATATTCATACATTACATACAAACTCATATATTTCAGATGTTTATTTTGTTTAATTTTGATGATTACAAATGACAACAAATGAAAATCTCAAATTCATCATATCAGAAAATTAGAATATTGTGAAAAGGTTCAAAATTGATGGCCCCTGGTGCCACACTCTAATCAGCTAATTAACTCAAACCACCTGCAAAAGCCTTTAAATGGTCTTTCAGTCTAGTTCTATAGGCTACACAATCATGGGGAAGACTGCTGACTTGACAGTTGTCCAAAAGACGACCATCGACACCTTGCACAAGGAGGGCAAGACACAAAAGGTCATCGCTAAAGAGGCTGGCTGTTCACAGAGCTCAGTGTCCAAGCACATTAATAGAGAGGCGAAGGGAAGGAAAAGATGTGGTCGAAAAAAGTGTACAAGCAAGAGAGATAACCGCACCCTGGAGAGGATTGTGAAACAAAACCCATTCAAAAATGTGGGGGAGATTCACAAAGAGTGGACTGCAGCTGGAGTGAGTGCTTCAAGAACCACCACACACAGACGTATGAAAGACATGGGTTTCTGCTGTCGCATTCCTTGTGTCAAGCCACTCTTGAACCACAGACAGCGTCAGAAGCGTCTTGCCTGGGCTAAAGAGAAACAGGACTGGACTGCTGGTGAGTGGTCCAAAGTCATGTTCTCTGATGAAAGTAAATTTTGCATTTCCTTTGGAAATCAAGGTCCCAGAGTCTGGAGGCAAAGAAGAGAGGCACTTCATCCACGTTGCTTGAAGTCCAGTGTAAAGTTTCCACAGTCAGTGATGGTTTGGGGTGCCATGTCATCTGCTGGTGTTGGCCCATTGTGTTTTCTGAGGTCCAGGGTCAACGCAGCCACATACCAGGAAGTTTTAGAGCACTTCATGCTTCCTGCAGCTGACCAACTTTTTGGAGATGCAGATTTCATTTTCCAACAGGACTTGGCACCTGCACACAGTGCCAAAGCTACCAGTACCTGGTTGAAGGACCATGGTATCCCTGTTCTTAATTGGCCAGCAAACTCTCCTGACCTTAACCCCATAGAAAATCTATGGGGTATTGTGAAGAAGAAGATGCAATACACCAGACCCAACAATTCAGAAGAGCTAAAAGCCACTATTAGAGCAACCTGGGCTATCATAACACCTGAGCAGTGCCACAGACTGATCGACTCCATGCCACGCCGCATTGCTGCAGTAATACAGGCCAAAGGAGGCCCAACTAAATACTGAGTGCTGTACATGCTCATACTTTTCATGTTCATACTTTTCAGTTGGCCAACATTTCTATAAATCCTTTGTTTTTATTGGTCTTCAGTAATATTCTAATTTTCTGATATGATGAATTTGAGATTTTCATTTGTTGTCATTTGTAATCATCAAAATTAAACAAAATAAACATCTGAAATATATGAGTTTGTATGTAATGTATGAATATAATATACAAGTTTCACTCTTTAAATGGAATTACTGAAATCAATCTACTTTTTCATGATATTCTAATTTTATGACCAGCACCTGTACTGTATTCCTGCACCGCAGCCAGACTCCCCCCACCTCACCAGACTTGTCAGCGAGTGATGATGAGGTTAAGAGCCGTGCAGCAGATGAATAAAATGTTATGTTCGATTATTTCACAGTAAACAAACGTACAGATCCCAGCAGGAAGGCGCTGCACTGCCTGAATATCAACCCTGCATAGTTTGCATGAATATACAGTCTCTCAAGGAAATTTTGTCGCATCGACTTCCGTCTTTATAACGAACGGGGAAAGAGGGAAGTGGAGTATACCGTAAAGCAGTCGGCACATTTGTATTTGTTTAGTGTGTCAAAGTCACTGCCAGCCTCCTCAAAGGGGCTTATTGCTGGTTAAAGAGATACAGACCTCCTTGGGCCTTTATCACATTATATTTATTAAAGGCTGAAAAGTTACTTAGTGTTGGTTTAAATATTTTAAGAATCATGTTTTTGCTTGACTGCCCTGCTTAGAATGGATGTATTTTAATGACTGTTTTATGCAAAGAGAGATGGCAAACTTATGGAAAGAAGTTTCTGGTTGGGTGCGTGACAAATCTTAACACTGAGGTTTAGGGCAACCGGATATGCAAACGCACGGAAAATTTAGTTTGTGGGTACATCATGTAAATTTGGACATTGCAACGTCTTAAACTAGATAAATGTGAAAATAATAATCCTGGATGAAAGTTTTATCAACCTTATTTGGATATCTGACACAACCTTTGCAGCTGCTTATTTCCTTCTTATTTCTGACCCTGTGCTCCAGTTTACGCTGCTTCTTTCAAAAGTATGTCAGCAGGTCACGGAGGGTGAATTATGTGACGCAGATTAGACGCTGCATGTCATTCTGTCAGATTCATTTAAAATAGGAAAATAAAAAAGTTCCAAAGGCTTATTCACCAGTGACTTTTTATAGATTTCAGACATAAAACATGTACATCAATGATGGAACATTTTACAATAATAACCACAGATTGACAAATTTCACCCAAGAGCCTTTGATATTCTTGACAGCTTAAATGCCTTGCCCAGGAGCACATCAACGCGTCGGGAGAAAGCCAGAATCGAGCACTCAGCTTTTGGGCTGCAAGGCGACTACTCTTCCCACTGGTTGCAGCCCCAGAGGGACTCACGCCCACATCCAACACAATAAGGGGGAAATACATAAAACAAGCAGCCACCTGATCTTTCAGTCCAGGAACCAGGAAAACTTGGAAGGATTCACGGGAAATGGGATTATGGCTCCTCGCCCGGAGAGAAGGGGCATTGTAGCCGATTTTTGAAAAAAGAAAAAAGGCTGTCACTAAACTATCAATGCTATTATATAATTATAAAACCTGTTCCTATTTCAGTTTATCCAGCTCGGTCCAAGCCTTGTTATCTAATAGCTTTTATCCTGCAGGTTATAATGGGCAGCGCCTGTTTGAGGCTTCATCAAACAAATTTGGCACAAATTCTCCCATTTATCTGGACGACCTTAGACTCTGTTGCATAACAGCTATTTAAGAGCTATTTTAACAGCTGCAAACTAAACACTGAAACAGGCTCTGATCCAACTATAGTGTTATAAGGTACATAAACAATATGTTTGTAGAAACTTAATTATCATAAGAATCTCAAACATGTTTTTTAAAGATTAGCAAAAAACTTTGTGGAAAGTTTGCTTTACTTTGTTTGAAAAAAGTACAGTTGAACGCAGCTGAGAGCAGTGAGATGCTGCTATTTGAAAGTTCTTGTTGCGTAATGCCACAATGAATCTGTTGCACCAACTTGTAAAAACATCAGTTTTTTCTCTTAGGAAAGTAATCAGTCACTACATGATTAAAATATTTCTAAATACACCTTACCTGACAGGTAATTTCCTCTTTGTGAGGAAACAATAAAGAACAGACCAGAACTGACCTGTGTGTGTGTTTATGTACGAGTGTGCTGCGGGGTTTTTTGCTGTCCTAGATTTTGGAGTGGGGGCGGAGGGTTGATCTGTATAAAGAGCCAAGACACTCCAGCATCTTCATACCAGCTCCTGCTGACAGGTTGGTGAACATTCTCACTAGTAGCAGCAGCAGCACTCTCTCACCTGTTGTGGATATTTGACACATTTTTGCTGTTTTCTTTCAGCTGAACGGACTCTGCTCTCCAGAAACGCATCCTTATCAGTTACCCGCTCGCATCATGAAGCTCCAAAACTCCGCGATCGCCTCCTGCCTCCATTCGGCTGCTGCTGCCCTCGCCGTTCTGTTTCTAGTTTGCTGGACCGAGCAGGTGGTGTCGAAACCTGTGCACCTCTCACCACCACTCAAAGACTCAAAGATGCACAAGGATGTCATGGAGGTGTCACATGAGGTGAGTTTCTCTCTATAATCTTGTTCTGTTAAGAGAATAAGGAAACTTTGAAGCAACTGTTGGTTTTAGGCTAAAATAAGGAATGAATGACCAACCTGAGATTTTAATTTGTGTTTCCAGGCTCAGAGAAAGGAGCTGGAGGAGGACACTAGCATCAGGCTGATGCCCAGAGTTAACCGCACGCAGGTAGCTTCAGCACTGGACACACTGTAGCTGAGCGTTTTCTGAAGGTCTCCATGTTTCCTAACTTCTCCTCTTCCTCCAGAACCACATGGAAATCTGCTGCCTCCACGCCAACATCCTCAACTTCTACCTGAACAACATCCTGCACAAATACAGCAGTGAGCATCCCAACATGGACCGGCTGAAGACGAACCTCAACCGGGTCAGCGAGGATCTGCAGACTCAAGGCTGCGTAAGTTTTTAAAGTTAACGCTTGGCTTGTATTCAGCCGGCTGGATGATTTTATTATCACCAACTGAGAGGATGCTACCTTTTAAAACCACGTGGAGCCTTCAGAAGGCTCCACAGGATTAGAACCTGAGCCTGAGTCTAAAACTGTTCTTCATATCTCAGAGAGACATCAGGAGTGAAAGCGTTTTTTTTTTTTTTACTCTGTGTGGTTGATTGTGACACTGATAACGACTCTCTGCGGTTCACGCTCGCAGACAGATAGATGGAGCTGATAACAGCTGGTAACCTCCTGAACCTTCCTGTCTGCAGAACCTCACTCACTACCACGACCATCGTCACACAGTCGAGTTTCGCAGGAAGCTAGAAAGGGTGAGTTCATGACTTCATGGTGCTTTATTCTTATTAAACCAGGTTTTATTATCCTAATCATCACAAAGCCAAGAAGCCTTTAAATCGCTCAGAAACATGGATGTTTTGGTGGATTGGATGTTCCAATCTAAAATTTGTCTATTCAAAGAATAAAATCCCCTTTTGGCGACTTTAAAGCTCCAGTTTTATTTTGAAAACCAAATGATTTTTCTTTAAACTGAAATTTGCTTTCAACTTCATTAAGACTGAAGATTCAATCCAGCAATTTATTCTGGTTCCAAGCTCCTCAAATTGGGAATATTATTGCTAAAAGTTTGGCTCAGAGTCTATTAAACTATGATCTGATGCTATTATCACTTGTGTTGTTTTCAGATGGAGGACCAGCGCGGGATCAACAAAGCGGTGGGAGAGACCTACATCCTCTTCACTTACATCCATGATTACTGCATGGAGCCCAAAGCCGCCACCGACGTCAGCAAAAACTGATTCCTCTGAGCTTCCTTCCAAACATATTTATTTTATTTAAAAAAAATTTTGGCAGAAACTTTTGTACTTTTATTTATTTGACTATTAAATGACAGATCATATGAATTATTTTTTTTTACTATGAACATAAAGCTATTTATCTGACGAATATGTTTTTTGATCTGAATGTTTAATACCAGGACTGAAGAAGCTCTGGTGTTCATGTTGCCTGTTACGGCCGGTTTTATAGAAGAAAAGTTACAGTATTTAATGTAAGACAACTTGATTGTGCTAATCAAACTACTAGTTAGTAGTTTATTTCACAGTTTTTCAAATAAAGAATACAGACTTTGATAAACACATTTTTCTTTTATTGCTTCCCATCCCTCAGCTCTGTTCACTCTGAAAACATGGGTCACATTATTATATTCACAGTCCTGATTGAGCACAAAATAAAATCTAAACCATGAGTTTTTAATAACTCAAAGACATTTAGGATAGGAGATAAATTAGCTAAAATAAATCTAACAGGACCATCAAGAGTGAGATCATAGAGTAAAGCTTGGTTGTCTATAAATGTTTCTTTAACGGATAAAAAGAGATGTGTACACATGTTCAAATTATTCTTAGAAAGTCCTCAAAAGCTTTAATGTCGATAAATGCATGGGAAATACTTTCTAGAAGACGTAAAACCATAAAATAAGAAAATATTTATACTTTTATGAGTCTGCAGGAACAATGGAAACGGTTGCCAGGCAGATTAGATATATGAGGCAAGTGTCTTTTCTTCCCAACTCCAACATTTTAGGTGTTGATAAAAAAATCAAAAGCTTGTACCAGTGTCTGGTTATGCTGGTTGTGTGACAGCTGATCCTGAGAACAGCTCTGAATCTGAGTCGACCAACTGGGCTCCTCTGCCGGTCTTAGTTTTCACTCAGAACCATCATATCTGAAACCATCATTCTTTTTGCTGAGATGTTTGGGACCTTTGTGATATAAAAAAAACAACAATTCAACTGCCTTTCCTTTAACACATAAGACAATCACCTCTCCAACTAATTCTCTGATCTGTTCCAGGAGCAGCTTTCTGTTCAATTATTTTCTCCACTTATTTAACATTTTTCCTTCTTCAGTGAACTTTTCAATCAGGGTAATTAATCTGAAACAAAACCAAACAAACACTGGGATATTTTATTTAAAGGAGCTCTATAAGCAGCATGTAAAGCATCTGCTGTGGTAAACGAGTGTCAAGTTTTACATATTTATGCCAAAAAACAAAAACCAAAATGAATAAAATTTGTTCTCTTCCAATTTTATAATCATAAAACTCTATAGAACTGGGAACAGAGCCGTGGAAAATGTTTGGGGGATTTGCTGTGATGCTTCTGTTCCACCTAAACATTACATCAGAAGATCTTCTGAATACAGACTTGGAGGATCGGGGAGTAACGTTCAACAGAACAGATCTCTCCAGCATTAAATTGATAAAGTCCTTCACTTAACATGTCTTTGATGAGCTAGAGTTATACCTGAGAGGAACATGGTGGTTCAGTCCTGGTGTTGTGCCTAGTGAGACTAAACAGGCTCGGATCAACTGGTTTAAATTAAGCTGGATTGTTCTATTTATTTGGTTGCACGTTTTGCCAATATAGTCTGATAAACCTACAGATTTGCTTTCTTTCTTTTCTCTACTACAAAATCTTCCCACTCTGAAGGCTGAATAAAAAAAAGATCGTTTACAGACCCCCGAAACGCCGGCTTCGTGTGGATGAGAGGCTGGTTTGGTGAAAAATTTGTGCGTTTAGGCCAGGGTTTGACTTCGTGTGGACGGGGCCTAATATATTTATGAAGCCTTACTGAAAATTAATTAGGGAATAAAATCGTAGAAAAAAATAAGATTAAAGGGGGGAGAAAGAGAGAGAGAGATAGGAAAGAGGGCAGAGTGGATAGAAAAAAGCAAACCAAACCAAACAAGCATGAGTCTGTTGTTTCAAGCTGATGTTTTTCAACATGTACTGTGATGAGGAGGGGAGGTGAGGTGAGTCACTGTGGGGTGGGAGTTAGGACCGGTGGGAGGAGCGGGTAGAGGGACTGTCATGTTGGGCTGTGGCACTGGTTTTTTTTTTTTAAGGGGGGCAGGGGCGGAGTTGCAGTATTCGATTACAACGATCGAAATGTGGATTTTGGCTTGATGTGTTTGTGTAGGCATGTATATGTTTGTTTACATGCATTTATATATATCTATATCTATATAGTGTGTGTATATATGTATGTATATATATATATATATGTATATACATACATTTTTTTGTATACAGGTGCTGGTCATAAAATTAGAATATCATGAAAAAGTAGATTGATTTCAGTAATTCCATTTAAAAAGTGAAACTTGTATATTATATTCATACATTACATACAAACTCATATATTTCAGATATTTATTTTGTTTAATTTTGATGATTACAAATGACAACAAATGAAAATCTCAAATTCATCATATCAGAAAATTAGAATATTGTGAAAAGGTTCAAAATTGATGGCCCCTGGTGCCACACTCTAATCAGCTAATTAACTCAAACCACCTGCAAAAGCCTTTAAATGGTCTTTCAGTCTAGTTCTATAGGCTACACAATCATGGGGAAGACTGCTGACTTGACAGTTGTCCAAAAGACGACCATCGACACCTTGCACAAGGAGGGCAAGACACAAAAGGTCATCGCTAAAGAGGCTGGCTGTTCACAGAGCTCAGTGTCCAAGCACATTAATAGAGAGGCGAAGGGAAGGAAAAGATGTGGTCGAAAAAAGTGTACAAGCAAGAGAGATAACCGCACCCTGGAGAGGATTGTGAAACAAAACCCCTTCAAAAATGTGGGGGAGATTCACAAAGAGTGGACTGCAGCTGGAGTGAGTGCTTCAAGAACCACCACACACAGACGTATGAAAGACATGGGTTTCTGCTGTCGCATTCCTTGTGTCAAGCCACTCTTGAACCACAGACAGCGTCAGAAGCGTCTTGCCTGGGCTAAAGAGAAACAGGACTGGACTGCTGGTGAGTGGTCCAAAGTCATGTTCTCTGATGAAAGTAAATTTTGCATTTCCTTTGGAAATCAAGGTCCCAGAGTCTGGAGGAAAAGAAGAGAGGCACTTCATCCACGTTGCTTGAAGTCCAGTGTAAAGTTTCCACAGTCAGTGATGGTTTGGGGTGCCATGTCATCTGCTGGTGTTGGTCCATTGTGTTTTCTGAGGTCCAGGGTCAACGCAGCCACATACCAGGAAGTTTTAGAGCACTTCATGCTTCCTGCAGCTGACCAACTTTTTGGAGATGCAGATTTCATTTTCCAACAGGACTTGGCACCTGCACACAGTGCCAAAGCTACCAGTACCTGGTTGAAGGACCATGGTATCCCTGTTCTTAATTGGCCAGCAAACTCTCCTGACCTTAACCCCATAGAAAATCTATGGGGTATTGTGAAGAAGAAGATGCAATACACCAGACCCAACAATTCAGAAGAGCTAAAAGCCACTATTAGAGCAACCTGGGCTATCATAACACCTGAGCAGTGCCACAGACTGATCGACTCCATGCCACGCCGCATTGCTGCAGTAATACAGGCCAAAGGAGGCCCAACTAAATACTGAGTGCTGTACATGCTCATACTTTTCATGTTCATACTTTTCAGTTGGCCAACATTTCTATAAATCCTTTGTTTTTATTGGTCTTCAGTAATATTCTAATTTTCTGATATGATGAATGTGAGATTTTCATTTGTTGTCATTTGTAATCATCAAAATTAAACAAAATAAACATCTGAAATATATGAGTTTGTATGTAATGTATGAATATAATATACAAGTTTCACTTTTTAAATGGAATTACTGAAATCAATCTATTTTTTCATGATATTCTAATTTTATGACCAGCACCTGTATGTGTGTGTGAATATTGGGGAAAAAAAAAAACTAGTTTAACAGGAAAGTTTCTGTACTTAATGTTAATTTAAGTGCAATTAGAGGGATTGACACTCCATCAGATGCTCCTCTGGCTGTGATTGGTTGTTTTGACTCGTCCCGAATTATTCTTTCCAGATTGAAATACAGGCAGTATGCGGGACCAATTGAAGCAGTTTTTTTCACAGGTTACATATCACATGTACTGCTGTCTGGGCATAGCGACAGTTTTAGCCAATATGACAAAAAAGTGATTTTTAAAAACTTAACTTCAGCTTTAAATCTATTTTTTTGCTTCCCGTCATTCTTTTTATTCAGCTTTAGTTTGTGCCCTCCAGGCAGACGTTTGATACACATATATATGAGGAACAGGGTTATACCAGAATTACTGATGTTACCAATGCAGATGTAAGCTTTAAGAGCTTTATTCATAAAGCCCCATTTCACTAATGGTTTAAACTCCTTTGTAGGGCTCGATTCATCTGTCAATTATTTTTTCGATTTAATCGATTAATAATCAGATGGCAAAAAGTTTCCTAGGGTAGACTTAACAAAATTAAACCAGGTGAAACATACTTTTCCACTTGAGAAGATCTGGGTAGAGCATATTGACAGAAAAAAAAGTTGTTTTTTTAAATCTTAAATTCAAAATGTTTACTTTTTTTATTTTACAATTTTGACATAATTATTGCTCCATATGGGTCACTCTTCCAGCTAAAGACATGTCTTAGAGTCTCTATACTCCAGTTAACCATTAATTGATTAGTAAATTAGTTGATCATTTCAATAATTAATTAATCACTATGAATTGTTGCCCTACACTTTTTCACAAAAGGACTTGCATCCCAAATGTGTAAATGAAATGAATATGACTGGCTCAGGCCATAAAACAGGACCAAATTGTGCATACTAAGCAGTCAGCAGAGCTGATGTCACCGTTTTATTGATCTCTAGCGTCATATGAAAGGAGCCCACGCATTTAAGACAGAAATACTATAAATCATCTAAATATGAGTCAGTTTATTGACCCAAAAACCTAAAAAAACCCTTGGAAATGAAACCAAATATGTGCCAGTGGTTTATGTATATGCAGTGAGGTTGCTTTGATTTAACATGCAACTTGTAGGCATGCAGTGAAATGCTTTCATCAGCATGTCCAGATGGGTGCAGTATAAACGCTTCATATTTATGTTTACTGAAATACACAGCAAATAAGAGCCCATGAATGATAGTTAGCAATGTAACACACAGCCAACAGTTTTACCTTTATTATTTATTTTCACTGTATTTCAGAAACAAGCTGGCAGCGATGCGTAACATCCAAGTTTTCTGGTGGATCTGAGGTGAAAGTATGAGATGTTTATTACTGAGAGGGTGAAGAACGGGTAGATCAAT